TCTAGGAGATAAAAACACCAGTCTTTTCATCCACTTGTCTCCAAACAAGACAACACTCAGTCCCAAGAAAGAATAAGCTGATAGCTCATCTTCTAATGGGGCCAGGGGTTCTGTTCTCTTTCTGCCTCCCAATAGTTCTCAGAAAATATCTACTTCCTTTCATCAGGAGAAGCACAAGCTAAGACCCACCAGAAAGCCAAGGTATGGAGGAAACAGGTTTATTGGGTGTATCTGCTAATCCCATGTTGGGTTATTTGAAGTAATTTATGTAGCCATTCTGTGCCTCTTTTCTCATCCAAAAAGAAAAATTGGCTTCTGGTAAAATTACAACTAAACTACAGAAAAACCATCTTTCAGAAGCACCTAAATAAAAGTGTGGCTAAATAAAAGTTCCACAATAAAGATACAAGGAAGAAGCCACATGGAGACTGGATGCAGAATGAGCTGTCCCCGTACCCAGGTGTAGCAGATAAAAATCAGGAGAGAGATCTTGGCTGCAGTGGTCCCCCTTGAGGAATGGGGGGTCCCAGCTCCGTACTAGGCTTCCCATACTGGGATTTCAATGCCAGGAAGAGAAGTCCCCATTTCTTCCGGCTGTAAAAAAACAGTGAGGCAGAGAAAGTCTTCTGGAATCCCAGGTGCTCCTCTTAAAGGGCCCACAAAGACTTACTTAGTTTCCCTCACTCTGAGCTCCAGTGCTGGGGCAGCAGCTTGAAAGGCACCAGGGACATATGGGGAGAAGATGAATTTTTTGGCGTCAGACACATTTTTCCCAGACTAAAGTGCTGGCAGAGGCCATTATTCCTTTTTTGTGTCCTCCTTCCCCACACCCACAGAGCCAGTAGGCAGGTGCCATATTTGAGTTTCCATCAACCTGGCTATCACTGTTTGCCCCACCCCAGTGATTCCCTGAGACCCCAACCCACCAACCTGCAAGCCCACCCTAACCATTTCCAGAGGCTTTTCCTTAAGAATGGTCTGTCTTGATTCATGCTTCAGACTTTCCTAAAATCTCTCAAACAAGCAGCATCTGAAGACAGTGTGTTCCATGCCCCTCATTAAGTGGTCCCAGGCCCAGCACCAGTACAGCCTGCCTTGGTTCATAGCTTAGTCTGGCCTGGGTATCTCCAAGCCCAGCACTAGTAGCAACCCTCTACAGATTGCTTTGTAGCTCATGCTGAATGGCTGTGGGCAGAACACAGGCTTCAGTGACCGACCTTGGCCTGCATTTCCCAGGAAGCCCAGAGCCAGCACACCCAGTGGGCAGTTTCAGACCATGCTGGGGCACCATCCAATCACCTTCATGAGTGACACACTCAAAAGGGAGACTCAGTGGGCATCAAAGCCCCGTTGAAGTAAGTCCTGCTCTGCAGGGTAGGCCCCCATACAACTGATCCTCCACTGTACAACTGATCCTCCACAATAGTCACAGCCAATCCTTGCAGCTGATCGGCCTGGGATGAAATCGCTCCCACTGATGTGCCAACAGCAATCAAAGCTTAGCTACAACAGAATGGTGAACACAGCCCATATGTTGGGGGTGCACAGCTGGAGTGCCCAGCTTGGGTCAGTGGGGAGGCTGTGCCACTGGACCCAACAGGATCCCTATTATATTAGGCCACTGTACCAAGCCTGGGTGATGTAGCAGCTCTACCTAATACATAGAAACAAACAAAGGGATGCTACTAAAATGAAGAGAGAAAGAGATATGCCCCAAATGAAAGAACAAATCAAAACTTCAGAAAACGAACTAAGCAAAATGGAGACAAGCAATCTACTAGATGCAGAGTTCAAAACACTGGTTATAAGGACATTCAATATACTTAGGGGAAGAGTAGATGAACTTACAGAAAACCTCAACAGCGTAAAAAAGGTCATGGAAACTGTAAAAAAGATCTAGTCAGAAATTAAGGATACACTAACTGAAATGAAAAATAATTTAAAGGGAATCAACATTACAGTACACGAAGCCAAGAATCAAATCAGCCATTTGGAATGTAAGGAGGTAAAAAATACCCAATTAGAACAGAAAAAAAGAATCCAAAAAATAATGAGAATTAACAGAAGGTCCTCAAGGAAAGGCCAGCCCTGGGCTCACTGAGGGTCAGGAATGAACTCATTGTCCTCTATCTAAATTGTCATTGGTTCAAGCAACAGTGCGGCAGAAAGAGAAAGACAGGCAGAGGTGCCCAATGCTCAACCCTACTCCATCCCTCCTCCAGGAGGTCTGACAAGGAAACCAACTCAAAGACCCCATGGTCTCCCCCACAATGGGCTTTCACACTGTTGCCCCCAGCACTGGGCTTTGTGCTGCCTGAGTTTCTCAGCATGGTGACGGAAACCAGAACTACTCCTTAGCCCTAAGGAAAGGTGCTGCTTTGTTTGTTTCTTCATCAGTTCTCAAGTCCGACTGCCTTCTTCCCTGTGATCTCAGCTTCTCCTTGGCAGAGTGGTTCTTTCGGGATGGAAAGAACTTGGATGAGCGGCATTATCCAGTCTCCGGGACCATCCAGAAAAGGCCTCTCAAACTAGAGACCAGCAGAATCAGCACAGTCAGACATGGGAGGCCCACCTGGAGCACCAGAGGGTCAGTTATTGAGACAATGTTTTTTGCCCTTCCCTGTCTAGAAATGCTCCTCCTTGATACACAGTGTCATTCTGTGTCGTACTGTCTGCCTCATAATACCAAAGAGGCTAGAGTGAACCTGTGAGAAATACAGTACAGTACAAATAAAAAATATATATAGTCCCTAACTACAAGGAGCTTGCAAGAGAAGCCATATGAGCTCGGAAACTACTGAACCCAACCCACTTATTTACAAAAAAGAGAGCTGAAATTACGACCAGAACCAAGACACACTACCTCCTGTTGAGATCCAACTCATTCACATGACGTGGCAATGTGGGCACAAAACAGAGTTTTGCACCATTGATGTTAGTTGCCCAGACTTTAAGGCCGATGTTAAAGGACCATGAACTTTGAACAGTAAAATATTGAAAAGTCAGGAAAGCCTTCCTTGGAGAGGTGGGACAAAATGGGGAGGGATGGGCTAGTCAGAAACGTAGGATTTTTAATTCATTCAAAAAGTAATCCACAACTTCTTATTAGGTTCTTACTTTGTGGCAGGACTGTTCAGTGCCTAGAAGTATACAGCAGTGAACATATTTTTTAAATTCCTGCTTTCATGAAACTTGCTCATAGGAGGAACATCTAGGCTCTTGCCTCTTTGGGTGAAAAAAGTCCAACAGAAGACCAGAAGACCCTCAGAGAGACCTGTTTGGAAACAGAAAAATAGAAAGTCTCACTTGAAAGTATCTGTATTTCAAAACATGATTTGTTATCTATAGAAATAAAAAATACAGGGAGTGGGACTTAAAATACATTCTCTTATTCAGACAACTTCTACTAAGAACCCCCTGCAAGCCAGGTGCTTGGTTCTTGAGTAAGGATAATGACAAGGGAGAGATATAAGACATAAGAAAAGAGGAAGAAAAGATTGGATGCTGACTTCATTATCAGAGAAGTTGGAGATGGTGGATATCTTCAACTCGGGCTTCTACTTTGAGCTCCAGACCCATAGACATGAGAATTATTTGATATATTTATTTGGAAATCTCAAAAGCACTTCAAACTCGAAATACCTGAGATTAAAACACATGACAGCCACTGCCTGAGTACCTGGCCTTTATCTCGGTGAGTAGCACCAGCATCCAGATAGCTTCGATAAAACAAAAGCCAAAACCTTGACACCTGCTGCTCTCACCAACTAATACAGCCCCTATGGTCTTCATCTCCTATCCGTATCTCTTCACCCCATCTCCCTGGCCAGGCCTAAACCGTTATCAAATGCCATATTTTGCCTTGTATAATTCACAGATTTATGCCCAAATTTTTAGGGAAAAATAAGGATGCATATTATACATGGCTATAATGAATACATGCCATTGGTATAATAGTCCTGTGTACAATGCACACAAAAACATGGATGTACATTATAGGTGGCAAGATACAGTATTTTTCTCTCCTGAATCTCTACTGCTTTATTCACTTCACTTCCCCATTAATTCATCCCCCACCCGGCAGCCTTTAATCTCATCATGTTATCCTCTTAAAAAATTTTCCATGGCTTCCCACTGTACTTAAGCCTGGTATGTTTTCTACCTCTTTCTAACCTCATCTGGCACCATATTGGGAAGTAATTATTCACTGATTTGTGTAGATGTCAGATTAATGGGTTTCTCCCCCACTAAACTGAAAGATCTGTGACCACAGAGTGTACTTTTGTTTTTATTTACTATTATTGCCCTATCACCATTGGTTAAACCAATGATTCCCAGCCAGGGATGATTTTGCTCCTCCCCCCAAGGTAACATTTGGAAACATTTTTTATTGTCACAGCTGTGGGGATTCTACTAGTTAACTAATGGGTAAAGTCTAGAGGTGTTGCTAAATATCCTACAATGCACAGGACAGTTTCACAAAGTTACTCAGCCCATAATGTCAGCAGAAGCGAGGCTGAGAAATTCTGGTTTAGATGAAAGAGAAAGAAATGTTTATGCTTTGACCACATTAAATTGGATTTCCTAGATTCAGGTCCATATAGAAATACATGTTATCTCCCAATGCTATAGAGACACTTAAGCATACATATACAGGCACTCAACACTAAATTTCCTAAAGGCAGGAGATACCTATATAAATGACCATTGCATTGCTCAGAAGCCCAGCACAAGACTGAAATTTAGTTGTTCAGTAACACTTGTCTAGAAAACTCCATTTAACATAAAAAGGACCTCAATATTGAGGCTAGCTTGGAGCTGTATTAGAAGGGCCACCTTATTTCCCATATATGACCAAAGCGTGACAAAGGCCCCTGACAGCATAATGGAGCCCCGCCCACCCAGCAAGCCACACCCTGTTGCAATCACAATGGCTAAGGCCATAAATACCCGGAGTCGCCGCCTCCCGGCCCTGCAAAGCTCCTCGTTTGTGCCGAAATTACAATGTCGACCAGCCGCAAATTAAAGAGTCATGGCATGAGGAGGGGCAAGAACAGATCTCCTCACAAGGGGGTCAAGAGAGGTGGTAGCAAAAGAAAATACCGGAAGGGCAACCTGAAGAATCGAAAACGCGGCGACGATGGTGAGTGGGGGATGGAAGTCAAACACGGGGGGTGGGGGGGATCTTGTTGCCCCAAGGCCCTCCCTCTTGAAATTACCTCTCCCAGGACCCTGAAACCTCAGCCTAAGAAGTTCATTTCCATTTAAATTCATATCTGGGTAGGAAGAGTATGAATGTGTATGTTCTAACGGGTGTCCCTGTCGCAAACATGTCCTTCTCCCACAGCCAATCGCAATTACCGCTCCCACGTGTGACCCCACTGGTGGGCTCTGCCCTGGTGGACTTCAAACAGCACCAGGCAGCAACAAGAGGACAACGGAAGGGGACTGTCAAAAACCGAACTTCGAAGCCAGAGAAGAACCTATCCTGTGGGTAAAATACCAATCATGATGGAAATAAGGAATGTATAATGTGGACTGTTTCTCCCCAACATCTCAATAAAATTCTGAAAACTGAAAAATATGTTTATTTTGATCTTTGGTTGAAGAAAAGCTTTCTCAGGTAGGCAGACTTGAAAAATATCAAAGTAATTTGTCCTGACTCTGGCCATGCACCATCACCAAACTTGAGTCTTGGTTTCAATACACTCTCCCTCTTCCCAACATGGAGAAGGAGAGAAAAAAAGGGAGAAATGAATGTATCAGTGTCCTATGCATGTAGTGTCATAGACAGGTTGTCAAGGGGCTTATAGCATAAGGAGTAACATCAAACCATGTGTTAAAGGTACGTCCTAGAAGTAGAGAACATTCTGCTAGTGGGATTTGATACTATTGACATGGTTAGAGTAGCTATGTTAGGCTTGAGATGGACAAGGCTGGAGATGGGGTCATGCCTAGGAGGTTTGATTCAAGCCAGATGGTGTGACTGTCATCAATTAACCTTAGTCAAGTGTCTGGAAGTAGATATGACCTCAATCTGGGTGGACCTCACTGATCATCGGCAAGGAAAAACTGTCCTTAGTCGTCGTCTTCACTTTACCTTGACCTCGGATTCTGATATGGTTCAGCCAGGGATCTGACACCTCTCCGCATTCACCCACTCACCAAGGGGGAATATTTTTCTTAATGAGTGCTTCCTGTTGCCTCAGAGTCACTACCAGGGTGGCACAGGCTGGGATTGAGACTCATTTAAACCAAGCCACCCACTCGGTTGCTTGCAATCAGAAAAGGATACAGGAAGGAATGAGAGAGAGGATGAGGTTAGACATGAAGTTTCCATTTCCAATAGTGGGGCTTTTGACATGGAACCAAATGACCAAGTTGTATTTTCAATGAAGCACTGGGGAGGCGTGTAGGTACCGGATGTTGCGAGATTCCTTGTGGGTCAGATTGTGGTAGGGCAGCAAAAGCATGAGAAAAATCAGGTTGCTTTTGTCCTGTCTTCTAACTTCTAAGAATGCACATAATGTTTTCTTTTTCAGGTTCACATTCAAATCTCCCCTTAGCATCAGGCACACAGACACTGAACTCAATCCTCCACATGTTTGTCCATAGCGTGACTGCACAAAGCTCTTCATAAACAGTTCTGATCAGGACTCCTTAATCAGAAATGGCCATCTCGCATTTTGTGCCCTGTGGGAGTTCCTCTGTTTCCATGGAAAGAAAGTCTGAGAGCTGCTTGCAACACACAAAATCAGTTAATGTCAAGCATTTGCTGCTCTAGCTATAAATTCTAAACTTTGGGGCGAGATGTTTATAAGAGACCAATACAAAGGAAAAAGGAGGCCGAAAGCCTCCCTACATTCCTGCATGGGGCCAAAATAGCTCAGCCTGGCTGCTTTGATAAGGGTTGACCTTGGTCAAGGCTTTTCTGTGCTGAGGCAGACCCTGCAGTTAGTGTCAGCTGGAGGCTGATTGCTGGACTGCATAGCCCGCAATCTGAGCAGCACATCTCTGTGTGTCTCACACTAGCTTTCCTGCATTCCTCCCCACCCCCCTCTTCCCACCTTCACCCCCCTCTTCCCACCTTCACCCCTGCCACTCCCCGCTATGACTCCCGGCCAAGAAGCTTCAAATGCTTTTCTGTGCAGCTCCCCCTGTTCACTGTGCTCACCACTTGGCCCCGTCTCTACCCTCTTTTGGACTGTCACTATGTACAAATATAACATCTCCTATCTCAGGGAAAAACCAAGAGTCAGGAACACACTGGGAGAGCAATAATGCTGAGTGTGAAATTGACTTCTCTCAACAAACTTGTTCTGCCCAGAAGTTGTCCAGGATCCCCCTGGAAAGCAGATCCTGCAGAACACTCAAAAGAGGCTTTACTGAAGGCACTATTCAGAGACAAGACACCTAGAGCCTAACAACAGTGTCTGAAGGACAAAAGACCACTTGGTAAAGCCTCCTAGTGCTTCCATCGGCCACAATGAACTGGAAGCCAGCAAGCAAGGGATCCCATGTGATACCAAATACAAGGGCCAGCCTCCCAGGCATCAAGGAACACAGCATGTTGGAGAATAGCTCTGAAAAACCAGGGATGATAGCTAACACAACTTTGTAGGCAGAATTTCTTCTTTCCTTTAGCATCCTGTTCATCTCTCATTTGTTGTCACAGGCCAAAGTCTCTTCAGCCTTAGCTAGTAATAGAGGCCCCAAACTGAGTTCTCAGAGCTCTCGAACCCTCAGCTTATGCCCAGACAAGATTATGTTCAGCTAAAATGTTTTAATATGACATTATGTTTCAACAATTTTCCGTACACTGAAACCATCTAATTAGTGACTAGGATGGGCATGTGGCAAACAGCCCATGGCTAGTCAGGACAGCCAGACCCTTGCCTGGTGACTTCAGTCTTTGCCCTCATAGACAGGTTTGGGAAGGAATGGCAGTCACCCAGAAAACTCTGTTTTGCAGTACGAACATTTTCCAGACCCACACGCTGGACATTTTCCAGCGCTGGTGTTGACTTAGTCCCTGCCCTCCAGGAACATTCATTCTGTTGCTCTGTTGACAGCTCCTGCAGGCCAGGCAGGCGCACCCAGGTAAATAGCACAAGGGTCCGTCCATCGTGGTGGCGCTCAAAGACCTCACCCTCTGTGTGCTTTTCCTCCATCTCCCTGACTTCCAGTTTTCTCTGGAACGCTATGTCCTGAAGTCATCACTTACTCGGACTTTTTTGGAAAGTCAAAAAATAAAAATTTTAAGGATCTTGGCCACCAGCCCTTCTGGGTCACCTTGACCTTCTTGTGAGCTGACTTGGATACAAGGCCTCTACTTCACTGGTCTTGGGGTCTGATGGGAGTGGTGCCAGAGCACCCACGTGTGGGTGGAGAGAACCCAGAGTAGCTACGGGGGAGACAGAGCTGACTCCCACCTCTTGCCCTGGGCCTCACCAGATGACCCCGGGTGGAAACAGCCATGTCTGTGCAGCCACAGGCAAACAGGAAGTTCTGGAGAAACGCTCATGGCTGTGCAGAGGAGGTGAAGGGCCAGAAACAGCAGCTGGGAGGGGACCCTGTGTGGTGCAAATCAGACATGGCCTAGGACTTGGCTGTCGGGGTCACCCAAAGGTTCTCTCCTTTGAGACCAGAGGACAGCAGCAGCCTGGCTTTGCAATCAGCACATAGTCACTCACTAGGCCACTGTGGGGAAAGAACTGTGGGGAAAAGGGACAAGGTCCTAATTCCTGATCTCTAGGAGCATTGGGGTCTTAGTTACCAGGTTGATGAGTCAGAAAGCAGTTCGTTCCACTTTGAGAGAAGCTCTCCTCACGTCTGAAGCCCCCAAACCACCCTCCCTCTGCAGCCTTTCATCAGCCCAAACGTGAGACCTCACCCTGATCAGAGCCCTGCAGCCACTCCTGCCATCTCAGCTCAGTGTCCCAGAAGTGGTACAGATGACAGTTCTTTCCACACAGCCCAGCACCAGGGTCTGGATTCCATCAGAGACAACTCCTCTTACATTGTGACCTTGAGCCACCATCAGTCCTGCCCTGTTCCAAGCCTTTGCATACCTCCTGTCCTACAGCCATTTCATCTCCTCGCCTGGCCCCAGTCCCCCACCACTGTCACTAAGCCCAACTCAGGCAGAAGGGAGGGAGGCATCTCTGGGCACTGGTTCTACTAGCCATGTGATCTTTGGTAAATTTTTCCACCTTTATGAGCTTCATCTTCCTTATCTACCTCAGTCATAATACCCATCTCACAGAGGTCTTGTAAAAATATCAAATGGCTACTAGATTTATCAGGATGATCACTTCATAAATTATACAAATATCTAATCACTATTTTGTATACTTAAAACTAATATAATATCATATGTCAACTGTAATTTTTAAAAATTATTTTAAAAATGGAATATTGGGTCCGGGCCAGGTAGCTCAGTGCAATGGAGCATCGGCCCAATACGACAAGGTTGCAGTTTCAGTCCCTGGTCAGGGTACACACCAGCATCAACCAAATGCATGAATAAGAGGAACAACAAATTGATGTTTTTCTCTTCTCTCTCTAAAATCAATAAATAAAAATTTAAAAAGAAAGAAAGAATATCAAATGCTGTAAATTACAGGCCCTGAGCAAGTTGGCTGCCTTCTCTGTCCCTCTGGACTGACCTTTCACATCATTGTGACTGTGACCCTGACTCATGACCCTTTGTGCTGCCTCAACCCCAGGATGCCTTAGCACTGAGGCTGTGGACAGGCGTCCTCCACGCTGCCTGCGTGCTCTGCAAAAGTTCCCATGTGATCCGCAGCTTCTTAATTTCCCTTGAGCTCAGGAAGTAGCTACACTTCTCTGGGGTTTGTTTTACTCTCTCAGAAAATGTAGAATTTGAGGATGATCTTATCCCCCCAACTAGACTGCAAACTCCTTGCAGTAGAAGCCATGACACCCATGAGTGAGGGATAAATAACATCAGCACACACAAATAGCCATTGTTCCTTAGGAAACAAATCAACAGATCCACCTCTCAATTTAATTTGTTGTAAAAAATAAAATTTGAGCATAGGTATCTGTGAAAAGGATCAAGAATGAATTAATAAACCCCCTGAATGGGATCATGTTTATTTTTCTCATTAGCAGCAGGCATGTGTCTCTGTAATTAAGTAGCTATGAAATCCTCAGGTCTAACACAAATGGTTTGTAATGAAAAGACATGAAGAACTTGAATGTCAAAGTTTGCAGGGAACCTCCTCAAAAGTGCCTCACATGGAAGTTCTCAAGAAGAAAAAGCTTCTCTACAGGATGAGGAACAGCACCTTGATTTGCTGACCATTTCCTTCAGGAACACAGAACTTCCAGGTGCATAGAGTCCCCTGGGATCAAACTGATAACATGCAGATCCTGGTTCTGTAGGCCCAGGTGGGCCTGAGAGTCTGCATTTGTAGGAGGCTCCCAGGTGGCACTGACGCTGCTGGTCAGGTGACCACTCTGTGAGTAGTGAGGGCTAAGTGGAAGCCCAGAGATGAGCCCCAGCTGGCTCCACCCAAACTTCCAAGGGGCAAACTTCCATTGCCCCTCTCTGGGGCTCTAACATCTCTTCCAATTGTTTTTTTTTTTTTAAAGTGAAGTCCTAAAAAATGAGACTAAAGAAATCTAGCCCAGCAGTAACTGTCTCTGACTACTCTCTAGGGTAGGAAGCAGCAGCATCGCTGAACATGGATAAAGGGCTTTCTCTGCCACCTCAGAACCACACGTGGGTTGTGTTACTTGAGAATATGGGGAGGGATCAGACTTCCCAGGGACAGCAGAAGAAAGAAGTGATAGAAGAGTTTAGAAAAAAGCTCTGCGAACAAGTGAAGCCTCTCCCAGCCTTGCCACCACGGTATCTCTGGCTGGACCACTTAATCCTTCCCCCTTTTTCTTTTCTACATTTGCTCCCCTCTGGCAGCAGAAACCACCTCACAGCCTGCTGCACTCAAAGTGTATGTCTATTTGCATTTGGTTGACGGCACCAGAAACACATTCCGGCTAACGTAAAAGAGGGAGACGGAATCTGTTGGAAGGTGTGGAATTGCTTGGAGACTAGAAGGAAAAGCTGGACAGCCAGGCCACATGATGGGAGTCAGGCAGGAAGCAGATAGGTAGCTCTCCTCACAGTGAAATGTCTCCAATGGTTCTCCATTCTTACATCACTCCCCTAAATCTTCAGGGCCCTGGGAGAGAGAAAATAATGGTCAAGCTTGTGTTGCAGTGGGTTGGGGGTGGTCCTGAAGGGAAGATCAAGGGACGGCCTTCACAGAAGGGAAGATGTATGCCAGCGGCCAGGTACAACAACCACTGCAGAAGGCAAGAAACGACTTCCCCTTAATGCAGCTCACTACATAGGTAGGGCAGAAACTTAGCATCCTGAGCACCCAGCAGCCACATTCTTCCGTCCCTCCATCTGTGAACACCCTATAACATGCAGTTTTTCCTGTAAAACTGCCATGTTAGCACAAAGAATTTGCTAAGAATATATAACATACAATTTACTTTCACTGCCAGAACCAGAAGTTGGCTTCATTCTTGACTCCGTTTTTCCCCCTCCATGGAGAACATTATCATCGCATGGAAAAAGTTAACAGCAAACAGGAAAATGAGGAGTCATAAAGCCCTGTGTAGGCCTGCTGCCGGTGGCAGGGGCAGGCCCAATGGCTGGGGGGCACGTTTTATATTCCTGCCTCAGCAAAAGTAAGTATGCCCGGGAGCCACAGATCCTCGGGAAGGGCTGAGAGGGAGACCGTGGTCTCTGTGACAGTCCAGAGTTTAGTGATATGCAAATCTGCGGGGACTGGGAGAGGCCCAGGCCAAGGGAGGACTCCATCACTCCTACCTGAGTCGTGTGTGTGTGTGTGTGTGTGTGTGTGATTTCTTTCTTATCCTCCTTCCACTCCAGATGTCCTGGAAGCAAGACGTCTTCTGGTTAATTTAGCACCTAGAAGCTCTCAGAGATTTGGGTCTTTGCCGTCTAGTAAGGAAGCCACTGGCCAAATGTAGCCATTGAGAGCTCATGGGGCTGGATGTGCTGTCACTGTAACATACAGTAGTGGGTAAAAATATTTTTACAGTTGTTCATGTGGCAAAAGACATGCAGGTTATGATTATCACAATATCTTTATTAATTCAGGATAGTGTCACAGTGCAACTGTAAACCTCCTATCCCACCCTGTACATACTGGCTTTCAAACACTTAATATGAACAAGAGAGCATGAGATTTCTCAATAATTTTTGACCTTGATTATATGTTGCAATTATATTTTAGACATATTTGATTAAATAGAGTAAAATTAATTTTACATGCTTCCTTTTTCAACATATGGCTACTAGAATAGTAAGAACCACTGATGTACCTCATGTTAGATTTTATTGAACAGAGACAGCCTAGGGTCCCCTGGATTTGCACAGCTCAGTAACCCTTCACCAGCCATACTTTCCCCCCTTTTCATTTAGAGCAGAGCCTACGAGAGCCTATTCGAAGTGGGCACTGCATAGAGACGAATAAAACCCTGCTGTCTGCTTTCTCCTTTGCCATGCCTCCATCACACACACATACACATATATCCTGTGTCTTGATTAATCCTGTAGGTCTAAAGTTGTAGGAAGTGGTTGCTATGTTCCGTGGTGCTATTCTTGCTATTCTCGTGTTCATCCCTGATGTCTCTGCTGTGCCTAAATGATTGCCTTTCCCCACCCCAGATGCCAGGGGCCAAAATTGCCCCATTGTATTGCTGTATATTTTCTACAACTTTGGACTCTTAGTGAATGGGTTCAGAGTCGGCTGGTTTATAAACATACAATAGACAAAAACTTTAAATGCTTCTTCTTTTCGTCATATCAGGAAATTCTGTGTCTCTCTCGCACACACAGACCGGAGGAGAGATAGTTATCACCATGATCTACTCGCCTGTCTACCTGTTAATTCACACCCCCACTCGCACAAAGGCAAAAAGTGCAGAAAAAATTTAAGATGGTGGCACTCCACTTTAAATTCTATCTTGTTTTTCATATAGTTACTTGAAACTAATAGAATTGTAGAAATGTTCACATCTAGGAATAATAATAGCAATATATTTGTGATAGATACTCTCCTATGAGCTTTGTACATGTTAACTTCTTTCACACCCAGCACAGTCCCATGAAGTAGATACCATTGTGACCTCTGCTTTAGAGGTCAGAACCTGAGGAACAGAAAGATCAAGCAATTTGTCCAGGGTCAAAGGGCTGCTGAGTGGCAGAGCTGGGATTTGAACCAGGCTCCCTGTTTCACATCTGTGTGCGGAACCACTAAGCTGTGGCCTTTGTTTTTACAGGTGAAGGAAATGAGGCCTGGAGATTGGGGAAGACAGGCTCGCCATGGCCGAGTTAGTGACAGAGGCAGAACTAGAACTCTGTTCTCTGCTGCCCCCCAATATTGCCCCCGGTTCCCTACCCCACAAACCAGACCATGTTCATGTCCAAAGTGAAAGGGTGTTTTCATAGAAGTAGACAGGATACTTAGGTGGGGGACAGAAAGGAACAGGAACAGACAACATTTCTGATCTCTCTGGTAAAAGCGGGATCAGTTGAGTCAAACCCTAAACAACAAATTGTATCAGAAAAACCAAAGGCTTTGGCATCAGCCAGTTCTAGAGCCAGATTTTGCCATAACCACTTAACAGTTACATGACCTTGAACAAGTTACTCAACTTCTCTGAGCCTGTCATTTGCTGTGTAAACTTAGGTTAAAAACACCACCTTCAAGGTCACCATGAGGATCTGCGTAGGATCCATACACAAAACAACTCACGTCACACCCAAGGCATGGTGAGCACTCTGTAAATATCAGTTTTTCTCCAGACCACCCCTGCCCTCAATCTCAGGGTCCAAACAGGGACCCCAAGAATTTCTGAGAAAAAGAAGGGTCTAACAGGAATAAAGTAAGAGTGTACGTCTGCAGGGGTGGCCCCAGGGACTGAGGAGTGGAAACCTCTGTGCTGTTTGTGACATAGCAAGTCAGGCAAGATGCACCCCGTGGCCTCACTCTGTGTTGCTAGAAAGAAAGAGGTGGATTGTGAGCTCCAGCTTGAGTCACAGAAGCCCTTTGTATCTCCCAGGAGAGGGGAGGGTAGGCCCCAGCTGCGGGAACAGTGGTGGGCGGGGCCATCTGGCAGCCTGGATTTCATCTAAGAAAGGCTGGCCTCCTGCCCAGCCTGGGGTGTTGCAAGGGCCTGGGGAGGTGCCTTGTGAGGTAGGGACAGGTGTAGACAGAGAGCAAAGACTTGGAAAAATAGAGATGTCTTTCTTATTTCTTTTAGTTTGTAGTACAATGAATTAAATTAATGAACTAATAAAGTTTATTTTTAAAGCTATTTGGGCTTAAAGAGGTTCCACATTCCTCATTGAAAAGACTTCGAATGTCATAGGGCAGTCAGAGTGCCCTCCGGGGTCATCTTCTCCATTTCCCTGCCCAGAGCACCCTCTGCATGTCCTCGCCCCTACTGAGCAGATGAAAACCCGTGGGTGAGGCCCCAAGACTCCCGAGATGAGAGACAACTTTCTCTTCTAGCTCCACTTATTTTCCACTGTTTCAACTACAAGGTAATAAAGCCAGAGACCAAAGGGAGGCTTCCTTCTGGAAAGAAACCTCTTTTGGTTTCTCACTATCACCTCTCACATTCCTCCCATATTTTAAAACACAGTTCCAAGAGTCTTCCTAATCAACCCAGACAGAAAAGAATGGGCATTATCACCTCTCCGTTTGCAGATCACCGTGCTTGCCCTCCTAGACGTCCGCACAGGTTACAGTGCTATTACAGTTACTGGGGTGCGGTCTCATGGCCTAAAGGAACATAATGTTCCTAAAGACAGAAACAGCATCCTCTCTGTCTCAGCCAGGTTGCTCACTACAGGACCCCTCAGGTTGGGACAACATTCTCTCAGCTAACTCAGGGGGGTTTATTGAATGTCTACGCCATATGGGAACTGCATTCATGCGTTCCTACATCTACCCAGGACAGCAGCCAATGCCATAAACATCACGAAGGGAAAGGCCATTATGCCACAGCAGGTCTTTATGTTGAAAGTATGGTTCCTGGTATCATTTGTGCCCTTAGGTCACATACCACAAAGGTGAGCAAGGAAGGGGTCGACATTAAAGAGGCAGTTGTTCGCTATGGGTGTGTTAAGTCCCTGAATGACACAAACTTTTCCTGGGCCCTTCGGGGTATATACCCCAGGAGTTCCCGATGTTGCTGAGTCCACAACACTTCAATTCTAAGGTGTCGATATGGCCAAAGACAGAAGGAGAGGGCTCTGTTAATTCGAGGTGGTGCTCAAGGCCTGGACACTCCTGCAAGAGCAGGCAGTATGATGTTTCACACTGAACTGTTTCCAGCCCCTAGTACAGTGCCTGGCACATAATAGCTACTCAACAAACCTGCGAAGGATGGACAGAGGCAATGCTGCCAGCAAGCAACCATGCACAGGGACGGGAACCCAAAACACCCCGGAATTTATTTATTAAAAAATTGTGTATTTATTCTTACATCTTTAAACTTCAAAATACTCTCCTTTTGATGCAATACACTTATCGAGACATTTTTCCACTGCTCAAACCTGTTTATGAACTCATTGATTTTGATGCTTGTTAGTGCTTCTGTTGTGTTTCATTTCACCTTTTCCACATCAGCAAAAAGTTTTCCTTTTAAGAGTTTTTTCATTTGGGGAGACAAAAAAAGGCATTTGGGGCAAGATCCAGTGAATAGAGAGGGTAGGGCAGGAGTGTCTTGCCATTTTTAGTCAAAAACTGCTGAACACTCAGCATGGTGTGGGCAGGTGCACTTGTAAATCACCCATCTTGCAATGGGCAAACATGGTGAAAGAGTCTTCAAATTAAATTCACTGAGGCCAAGTTCAGCCTCTCACAACAACACCACCTAGTACACTGCTACCTAGGGGTTCCCAGAACCCTCACCTCACAGAGGAAGCCTGTACTACAAGGGGCCCACACTGCAGAAGATAACTCTGGGGTTTTGGGGGTCCCCCTTTATATGTCTTCCATAAGGAGAAGGAAGAGAAGAACATTGCAGTTAGAAGGGAATCTAGAGCTTTTCCAGACCAGCCTCCGCTTTAGGTAAGAAAATTAGGAGAAGGTTGTATGGTGCAGTGGAAAAGGACCAGACTTTGGGAGACTGA